GCGCGTTTGTTTGTAGGTATGTATATATGAGTAGATAGGTTATAACCAGGGAGTCACCCGTTAGTATACTGGAAACAGAAGACGAAGTGGGGTGGAGGTAGGCTTTGCATGCGATATCAATAAATCAAGTTGCCTGGGCCTCGGAAGCTTATAGGGGTAGAGGGTGGGTACTACGTGGCCAGAATCAACAGCTCATAACGTCGGCTAATAGCTGCCAGGAGCTGCGTGCGGGTGGCGACTCAGTGCTACGCCGAGGCGAGGGTTCAAAGATATTGCACTAACACCGAGGGACACCTTATATCGCATCACTGTGAGCTTTTAGCGAACATACTCCCAAAAGATCGACTGGGTACGAAAATAACGATCGTCGATTTTCGTCTTGTCCAGATTTTCTGATTAGCATTGTTTTATATAAGTATATAAGTTAATATAAGTATTTTAATATACAAAACGTATTAATTTTATGCAGTACGCTATGAATTATATTGAATTACGTTTCAATACTTTCTTTTCATACTTTCCTTTCAATACTTACTTTTCACTTACTTGTTATAAATTTTCATTTAATTAATTATTCTACTCGAAACAATAACAATTTGTAAATGCAATTTTATCAACAAAAATATTTTAATTTATAAATCATATATAATTTCTTTATTAGAAAGTAAATATTTATTAATAGTTTATTAATTAATTAAACGTATATTAAATAACAGTTAGCCATAATTTTGTCTTATGCGTTTAATTCATCTTTGAATAAATTTTATTTATAATATTATAATTACAATAATATGTTATTGTATGGTTATTAAATAGAACATTTACTGATAAAATTTTAAATTCGGTTTAGATCTCGGCTTTTCATATTTATCATATCAATTCTTCTAATTGAATATATCTTTAAATATGCTGTGAACAAAATAAAAATTTCTCTTATTTACATGATTGGTGTAATTTTTTTTTTTGAAAATTATAAAACATTGTAAAAGATATAATTATGTAATTATTGTATTTCAACAATTACATTCATAATGTACACGATATTGTAACAAATATTATTCAATTTATATAGAAACATTATTGGCTCTAGCAATAATTACTAGTTAAACATAAATTCATTTATATTAATATATTCATTTATTTATATAATTATAATATATAACATCATTTTTATGCTCATTATAAATATTATGGTTATTTTATTTGTCAAATGGCTGAAATTATGGACGATAATCAAAGCGATAATGAATATCATGAATAACGAATTCCTGGGAATTAATATATGATTATAATTTGATAAATTGTAGTATTATTCGATTATGTTCTTCTATTTTTATTGATTATTTTGTTTTATAATAGTAAAACAAATTAATATAGATTTTAATTACTATAAAATAGTACTAACGAAAAAGAGTGAAAACAAGTTGACTTATTAAGGTTTGAGCTTTCATTATTATCCAAACAAGTACTATTAATTAGCGCTCTAAAAGAATATTATTATACTTAATGCTTCGTAAAGATAGCTTGATATTTTTAATGTCGAAATTAATGAATGGTTGGGAGTGAAATGGAGGTAAATTTTGTCCTATCATATTACTTTTGTGAAATTTTGTTCAGGTGTGGTTCCAAAACCGTCGCGCCAAATGGAAGAAACGCAAGAAGACGACGAATGTGTTCAGGTCACCGGGTGCTCTTTTACCTTCACACGGACTACCGCCTTTCGGCGCCATGAGCTCGGAATTGTGTGGCGCCGCTGGAATGTTCCACGCGCCCGCCGATCGATGGGGAATGGGTCCAGGTCGGCTATTTTTTCCTCTACCGCTATCTATTCTGTATTTATCCATTCAATTTTTCAAAGACTTTTATCTCTCTCTACCTACTCTTGGCTCTCAAAATTTCATAATACTCGCTGTATACCCATTTGTTTAAACTTTCATTCTTTCATTATCTCTAGTGTTACGAACAACAGTTATGTACAGAGATTGGTTTTTCTTCTTACTTCAATTTAAGAATATTTATTCGAAGAAGACTATTTCTATTTGTAAGATAGCCTTATTCACTATTTAATAATCATTTATATCTTCATAATATCATGTAAACGAGCTTCTATTTACAAACTTAGTTTTTTTCTATTACAATATGTTGCTAATTAGTCTCAGTTATGAAAATACTTCATAATTCTATTAATTTAAAATTGTTATATGTAAACTTCAGTATTTCTAAAAACAATAGACTAATCAATTATAGACGTTTATTTTATAAAAAATAATTGATAAAAGTTTTTATACTTATTACTTGTGTAATTTTATAAATTAACATTAAATTTATAAATGAAACAAAAAAATTTCTGAACGAAAAGTAATTAAAACACTAAGCAAAATTTACATAAACAATTGCTTTATTTGCCTATGTATCAATTGAGTTAATCCTGTTTATCAATAGCTAATTATAATTAAAAAATATTATATTAATATTCAATAATGCTATACTTATTATGAAAATCTTTTTAATTAACTGCTAAAGCTATCTTTTTAAATAAACTTATAAAATTAATATATTAATATTTAAAATGTATTTAAATGTTTTACTAATCTAGAACGTTATTTGTATTGTAAGATTTTAATTTTTAATGAAACATAACTTATATTTAGCTTGAAGTTTACATCTGTTATTTTAAATATTATTGATGTTAATTATGATTATGTGCATATCTTAGGAGTAATAAGAGTTGTAATTTTTATTAGTGTTATGATTGCCTTTAATATAGTGAAGTATAATGTCAACGAATAGTCAATATCTTTCATATACATCATTACCTAACCGAATTTATAAACTAAAATTTATCAAGTAAATATTTTTTCATTAATTTTTTAATGAATATTATTTTAAAAATCTATTTAACATAACAATATTACATTAAATTTTATTTTTAATGAAAACAGTGGAGATATAAACGATCATTATTAAAGTAAAACTTTGTTTTAATAATACTATTATTATTGTCAAAAAACAAAATTTAAAATATTTTTACACTTATACAGATTTACCAATAATTATCAAATTTAATTATATTATTATTATAAGTATAAATACAGCATAGCTACAGATTTTATGTGTTACTTATAAATTACATTTATGAAAGAGTACATAATTATATAATATAAAGCAATATGTCTTTTGATTTACACCATTATTGTTAATAACCTTTCTTTTCGTTATCTAAAATAATATTTGGTTTATGAATCATAAATAAATTATTAAAAATAATCGAACAACAGCATATTAATGTAACAGTATAAAATTATGAAAAATTAATAAATAAATATTTATTTACAGTTTAAATAATATTAATGAATATTATGTAAAATAATTTTCACTTTAATATCATGGTAAGTTTTATATTTTACTTATAAAATACTTATTATAGAAAATTTAATTGATAAAATGTCAAAATATATACAAAGAAATATATAGTATAATCCTTATATTAATTATCAATTTTACAATTAATAGATTTTTTCAATTTTCTTTAATTTTACAATTTACTTTAATTTTACAATTTTAAAATTAATTACAATTAATGTTACAATAAAAATAGGTTTTATCAGAATATTTAATATTGTATTTATTTATGTTACAAAATCATTTCTTTTATATTTTTTTCTACACTTTTGGGCATCTACTTAATTTCGATCTATAATTGCTCATCAACTCCAATTAAGAATTTTCAATGATTTTTCAATTTAATAAGTCCATAGCGTAATAAATAAAAGAAACGAAAGCTTTTGTTTGAACAAATTCTTATAAAATAAGCGGAAAATTTCATTCAATTATGCATTTAAATGATTATATTTTAATTAACTGTAGGGTTGAGCCAGTTGAGTCAAGGTGGAATGAGTATGGGTGGTTTCGGACAAAGTTTGGGTCAGCTCGGTCAACAAAGCTCGGGAGGTCTGGGCTCAAGTCTCGGTCTAGGAAATGGCGGCCAGTTGATAAGCAGTCCCTCACAGACGGTCTATCAGGCTAGCTACGGTTTGAATTCACTTGGTAAGTGGTAAGTCCCCGAAGTTCTCCACCACCGCTAATGACTTGAACCTTGGAATAAAAAGAGAACAACTCATTTAAAGTTATATATATATATTTGTATTAATATTTGCAGTAGTAAGTCATTACAATTAGATTCAAAACGGGTACATTATTTGCAGAGATTTAAATTGCAATGATAATTAAATTGCAAATTTCTTGAACATTATTTGTATATTATCACGAAAAATTTGCTACATTAATATAGTCGAAAATACATTAAAATAATAAACTAAGTCATCAAATTATAAATTAAATTTTATATCACATTCTGATATTACTTTCACATTTTCCACATTTTCACAAAAATAATTTTACATCCATATATACATATGCAACTATTTATTTCTTACATTATAAGTTATATATATATATATACGAATATTCAAATTTGAGTTATAATTGCTTAACTTTACTCGCTATTATGTACTAATAACCACCTTTTGTCGTGGCTTGTGGGTAGCACATATTACTTACACTATACAAGTATAGACACATATTTGTGGTCATTTTACATTACTTATTCTTAGTAGCGAATACTATCTACTTATGTATAAGCATTGGATTTCGTATACATACTCTCGTATACGTGGATACACAAATATGCAGTTCTAGAAAATCATAAATAAGTATAATACTATTTAATTTGTTTAAGTATTTATAATTGATACTCGTCTCCTTATATACTTATGAATATTATTAAAATAGATAATATCGAAACCATATCAATTACTCATTAGTTATTGCTTTAATATGTGTGGTATATAAATAATTTTTTTTGAAATGTGTATATAGATACCAATACTAAAAAAAACTAATTAACTACATAAATTATAAATAATTTTCATGGTAAATATACACAACGGATTTTGTAATTTTTATGAATTTTTCAAGTATTTTATATTTTCATATTTATTAGAATTAAATCAGATAATAAAAATTAGTATTAATATTATTATTGTACCTTATTTGGAATAAATATTGCTCGAAATTCAAACGAGCTTAATATTTGTAAAATAATATTCATAAATATGAAAATATTAACATTATTAAAATTAATTTATTTAATACGTAATTTATTAAATGACTAAAAACTTTATATTATGTAAGCATTGATATTAAGAAATTTATTGTTGATGACAATTATTATACAATACAATATGTAACTTAAAGATTTGAATATATATACAGTTAAATATACAATAAAATATCAGCGTTCAAAATAAGTAATGTTATATAAATAAATGAATTAAATCTTATAAATAAGTAACAATGTATATTAAATATTAACCCATATTCATGATAAAATTTAAATAATAAGACATTGCAAACTAAAATGATATACAGATAATGTAATTAATTTAGTCATATTTGATAAACTAAATCGTTTAATGAAACTGAAACATATATTGTTCTTAGAAAAATATAATTATTTAAAAAAAAATTATTTTATAACAAAGATTGTTAAAGTTATATTATATAGAAATGGCATATTTAAAATCAATAGATAAGTTTAAAAGAAAAGTATAAATAACTTTTAACTATAAAAACATTTACATTGAATGTATGAAAATACAGAGTTTATTTAATTAATTTGTAATGTAATAAAAACTTTATTTTACAAAAATATCTGCAAATTTTTGCAATGTTCAGCCGCAAATATCTGTAGAACAAATGTTAAATAGTGAAAATTAAAAACTGAAAGTTAAATGTTAATACTGAACAAATGTTAATAATAATAAATAATAATAATTTTTATTTAAATAGAAGCATGAGTTATAAAATATCTTAGATTTAAAAATAATGTAGTTTATAACAAATGAAGTTAAAGAAATTTAATAAAAGACTAAATCACAACTTTTTGGCGTTCAAATCATTAAAACTAATTCATTGACGTAACTACATTTTAAATACATATATGCTAAAAAGTTTTATCAAGTCAAAAAATACTTTGGAAGTATATTTTTTCCTGTTGTTTGCATTGTCAATATACATTAGTACGTTTGCACTCAGGTTTCTTTCTCTACCGTTACTGTAATTTAATTTGGCAGAGAAAATATGGTTAAACTTACAAACGAATTATTAATATATTTTATTGTAATATATTAATAGTATTAATATTTTCTTTGTAAACAGGTATTAAAATGAATTTTTATTGTAATAAGTTGATATTGAAAGAATATTCTAAACCCGTTGCAATTAAAAATATTATAGTTATACAATATATTTAAATTGGATTGAAATTTGAAGATTAAAATTTTACCCTTGTAGTCAAATAAATTACAATAGATTCTAATTTTTTATAATATCTTTGAACCATGATTTGTTCGTTAATTTAAAAATTTGTAATATATAATGAATTTAGTTTTTTTATGAATTTTTTTAACTTATAACAATTGAGTTTCTAATATTTGTATTATTCTCTTAAGTTTAAATTTGAAAAATAAAACAAAACAAATGAATATATATTTTATAAGAAAGAAATTTCATGTAGTTATTAAAAAGTATGTTTTTCAATATATTAATATCATTCGATATATTGAATGCATCGATTAGATAAAGTTTATATTTTTATTATATTAATAATAAATTATTATGGAATGGGGTACAAACATTCACGAGTGAAATTGGGAATAGAGAGAACGAATATAAGTCAGAAAAAACGATAAAACCAAGCGGCCTCGTGTATTTGCTCGTTCTTGCGGAACAAGAGGCTCAAGATGGTCACACCTAGGTGTGAAATCCTTGTTCTCTCGGGGTGGAGGTGCGTTCTGTAAGTGTTTACCAGTGAGAATACTTTAAAATGCAACCTGTCTTTCCCCACAAAAAGTAGTATGTATGTACTGTACGCGTATTTATGAGTACGGTTTCCTGGCTCATTCGAAGTATCTCACAGTCCAGATGGACGAAGAACCTCAAGACTCTAATTCATATTTCTACTGGTTTGGTATATCTTACGTACATATTAAAATTACCTTTTAAAAAAGTGTTAAAAACGTATTATATCTTTTTAAATAATTAATTTGAAAAATATTCATAATTAAAGAGCACAAACAATCCTATTTTTGAATTTATATAATAATTGTATCTAAAGTTTTTTTTATAATTTATTATAAAACAAGAAGTGATCTTTAATATAATTTTAAATATTATATAAGTAAAATCTGCTTATTCATATATATTACATATTTTTAATACGTAAAAATTACATTTACACGCATATATGCACTCATATTATACAAATGTAATAAAATTATATATATATATATAAATAGAATAGTATATATAAAATATGAATCTTATGTTTTTGCATATATGTATAACTTATATAATAATTAGATATGAAATATAATAAAAGTATATTGGATACGTTCGAATTAAACTTCAATGTAAACCGTATTTCGTTAATTAAAAATGTATTGAATTCATAATAAATATATGCTTTTTACGTTAAAGAGTAGATGCAAATTTTTCTTTAAGTAAGTATAGCAATACATTCGTATATTTCAATGAATCAATGTATGGTGATTATTCATCTATATCATTGTTTAATTTAGCAAATGTATTAAAATAGATGATTATTACTTTTTGATGTAGGACTATATTTGAAACACTCAACATTGTTAGTAGTTAAACTGCAATAAAAACAAATAAAATAAAATCGTATATTATACAAGTAATTTTCAATTAACAAATATAATGAGTGTAAAATATTCATGTATTTTTACAAAAAAGTACACTCTGCCAGTAGAATGCATCTCTATAAATACAAGGAAATTATATGTTTATCTGAATATTATATAAATATTATTAATATATATCTCTAAATATATATATATATATATATATATATATATATATATATCAATGTTTATTGTAACGTATATTAATGTATATACATTAATATGTATTAATTACGAATTGCGCATCTCATATACAAAATGTATGTAATAAATACTGTATGTTATAATTTAATCCATAAACATTTTGGAAACTATAATTTAAAATTTACTATACTGACTATAGTTTATTATATTATGATATTTAAATAATACAAATTTCATTATAAAATTGTAAAAAAAAGTTAGATATAATATAATATTTAAATCTATAGATAAAATTTAACTAATTGATTTTGAATTAGAGTTCTTACATTTGGTATTATTGTATATTTAAGCTTATTAATCATTATTTCTTTAAAATTAAGTAACATAATGTTAAAATCATAATTAATAGAACATTTTAATTAATAATTTATATATGCTTAAAATTAATTTCTGTTTCTAATTTAAGATTAATAGGCTTTAATTAAAATTAAAAGGAGTGTATTACAAATAATACAATTTGTATATGAGCTTTTTCCAAAAAATTATACAGCTTTATAAAGAATAAAAACTTTTTATGTTTCATGAACATTTTTCCCATAAATGATAACGTAATCGATGTATACATAATAATATAAATGTTTGGCACAATCAGTAATCATTTTATAAGTACAAATTACTTTATTCATTTTAATATGAGTTATATTACAAATAAATATTTTTTAAAATGAGTAATTTAAAACGAAAATTGGATCGATTGATTGATAATTAAAATTGGAATTTTCATTAAAGTTGAAATTCACAAAATATCTTTTCAAAGCGTTTCTTATTCACTTAAGATTTTCGAAAAATCAAATAATGTAATAAAGGGATTCGAAATAATGAAAATAATAAACTAAGAGCCTGAATTGTAAAGCAAAAGAAACAAAATAGAATATTGTTAGTTTGAAATTTTGTAAAAAAAAAAATTAGAGGCAAGAAAATATCAGTTGGAATTGCTATTACTTTTCTTTCGAAGATGCACCGCATCTACGCGGTAACTCGCCGCACAAATAACTTTTAGAGCAACTCTTATTTTTCTCTTTTGAATAATGATTAACACTCGCGGCCTCTCATACGTTCTGGACTTCTCTACAAGGT